GTAATTTGGTATTTTTGTTACTTACAAGGTGAGAAATCATTCCACGAAAAAATATTAATATCGGTTCATATTTAGGTCTGGTCCCCACACAACGATAGCCCCGATTTTCAGGATTTTTATGATTTTGGACACGTTTTATCACCGAATTAGTTGCAATTTCATATTTTGGTTTCTTAAAAGGTGGGAAATCTTTCCACCAAAAAATATTAATATCGATCCACATTTAGGTCTGTCCCCCACCCAGCAATATCTCCGATTTTCCCTATTATGAGGATTATGCACACGTTTTCACACCGAATTGGCTATAATTTGGTATTTTGGGTTCTCATTGAGTAGAAAATCTCCCTATCAAAAATTATAAATATTGGACCATCTTTAGGTATGGTCCTCTTGTGAAAGTGCCCTTAAAATTTTCCTTTTTAATGATTGCGGACAAATTTTCCAACCAAATTGGTCGAAATTTGAGGTTTTGTGTTATCATTGAGTGACAAACCTTCGAACCAAAAATACTAAATATTGGACGAAATTTGGATATAACCATCGTATATCGTTAGCTCCGATTTTCGGTATATTTGACAAGTTTTTCAATCAAATTGGCAGGTATTTCATATTTTGGTATCTCATTAGATAGAAAATAATACCCCGATTTATATCCTGAGGATTTCAATTCTATAATCTAAAATTTGGTAATGGTCCACATGACATGCGCTATACATAAAATGTTCTAAAACCAATTTGGCCCAAAGTCTAAAGCAACAAGGGTAAGGATATGGATTCATAATATATAAAATATAATCTACTCACCTCTGCATTATCTTCATCAGTATGGTTTTCATTTTGTATCATCGATTTCCCAACACCGTGGGTGACAAATGAATTTTCCTTTATTTCACTTTCCGATTTGATAAATTCCATTTCACTTGATGATGCAATATCGACAGCATCCAAATTACGTGAAGAATTCTCCACTATTTCAATTTCACTTTTAATTTCATTGACATCACCATCATCATCCTCGTCGGAGATTTCATCTATTTTATTTGAGCTTGTATTCTCCACGCCAGAATTGTTAAGTAAACATTTATGTTTCAATAAATTTGTTGTTGATCTACCATTGTATTTATAAATTTTATAACAAATACGACATGCCACAATATCCGGATATATATCTTCATTCAAATGATTTGCAATTTTGCCAAAGATATTCCAAACATTACTGCGGCCTTTTATGTTTGTGATTTTAAATTCACCCTTGCTGATTTTCATACCAATCGTAGAGAAACTGCAAAATTGTTTTGAAGGTGTTAACTAAAAAAAAAGGAAACATATTTAAATTTTATTCATAATTAATAATTTTCAAAATATTTCATGTTCTACTCACCTCATTATCACCCACAACAGGTGATGCAGAATTTGCGAGTTCTGGCTCAACACCACCTCGGGATTCTTTTGATGATTTCCTTCGTTTACATTTATGTAGTACCAAATCGGATATGGTCTTTGCATTGTATTTAAAAACATCGTGACACGATCGACAAGCAACAAAATTCGAAAATAACTCCTCCCCCAGGTGATTTTGAATTTTTCCAAATATAGCCCACACCGGTGAATTGCCACGTTTTCGACTTAATTGATATTCACCATTTTTTAATTTCGATTTTATGGATTTGAAATTGGGATCTTCAATTGATATATCGGAAGTACTGTTACTCTCTGTTATTATCTGATATTAATGATGCAGAGAGAGAAATTTATTTTTTGAGAAAAACTAAAATAATTTAATTTAAATCATTACTTACTTCGTTGTCGCACATTGTGTTTAGAGGTTAGGTATTTATTTTCTGGAAAAAATAGAAGAGATTTCAATTAAAAATTAAGCTTGAAAAAATGCATGATATCATATTCATAAAGTTAACCGGTAGGCGAATTCTTGCCATAGTCTTCTCTTGCTGTAAACTTTTTAATCGCGAAATACCAACCAGGACATTATAAAAACTCAAAACATATTTAAAAAAAACGTATTGATATGACTGTACACGAATATTTTGTTTTGGTTATTTATTCTCAAAACAATAAATTTGACAGTCAGTGAAGAAGACTGAATTCGGCTCCCTGTTATCCTTTGTAATCCATTTCATTATAAATGTTAACAATTTTACGTGTTTTCGGGCCTACCGTAGCATATAAAATAATAAAAAACACTTATAAAAATTTCGAAAACATTTAATTAACAAACCGTAATTATTCTCTACTTGATTGCCATAGTTACCAATGCTCTTTGTATTTAATTATCATAAAATGAAGTCTGGCTTTTGAACCAAAATTTGCCATTTAAAATAGATGTTCCAAAGGCAATTAATATATATTAATTTATACTAAAATAAAATTCACAGTAAAAAAATAATAATATCAAATATTAAACATATATATCTCATTTAAATAATTAATTATAAAATACCTGAATCGTTTCGTTTATGTATAGTCTCGTTTACTTTCTGCTTACATTCAATTGTCTTGTTTTGATTTGATTGTGCAAATCATTTGCATGCCCGGAACATTGAAATCAGCCGTGTTATTTTTTTTATAGACTTGAATGTATTGGCGATCAACAAAATATACACAATAATAACAATAAGTTATTTTTTTTTATAATATAACATTTTATTTTAATAGTTTTTATTTATTTCTTTGGAAAAATATTTGCTTTTGTTTGTAACAAAACAAAAAAACAAAAACTACCTTTTGATATTTGATGCCTTTCACGCTCTCTGACTCTCTTTCTCTCTTAACAAATTTATGCGGTTAGTGTTGTTGCCGTAATGCATTCGAGTAGTCGATACTTGTTGCTGCACCGATTAATCAAATAAAATTAATTAGGAAAATTTAGTTCAAAAGGGAAATTAATATTTAAATTTGATTTAGAAATATATTTCTTTATTTGTATTAAAGTATTAACAATTTAAGAGTTTTTTTATTAGAGTTTAATTTTTTGGTCAGCATATCTGTTCATTTATAACGCTTGTTATCGATAACGTTAAAGTTGCTGTTAATTAGTGTATAACGTAACGTATGTATTTTATATACTGGGAACAGATAATTATAAAGTAACAACATTTGTAAACAGGTGTCTGTTTCCGCCACAAAGAAAGTGGTAATTCCGTTTAAATTAATAAGAGAACTTACCTAATTGATCTGGACGGAAAAGGTATCAAAGTGGTGATACTGATTTCCGGAAATTTTTCGTCAACAATCTCGGAGCTTATGCAAAGAGACTTACTGACACTGGGCCAGGGCGAGCGGCCTTGGAGTAAATCCAACGAAGACGGAACTGGTAGTGTTCACTAGGTAGCGTACGCTCGGCGTCTTTGGTCCACCAACAGTGGTTGGAGTGCAGCTTCATCTATCTCCGAAGCAAAATACTTTGGCACAATACTGGACTGTCAATTACGATGGAACGGGAACGTTCGAAGAGAGGGCTGATTGCACTCTATGCATGCAAGAATTCCATTGGAAAAAGTTGGGGGTTGAAACCATCTTTGGGCATGGTTGTATCTTGATCGAACCAGGTATGACATTGGACCAACGCGTAAAACTAAGCGACTACATATCTCCAGTCCTGATGTAGATGTCGTTATTCCTAGTAGAGACGATTGACTGACTTTCTATACAGATGGATCCAAGTTGGAAGAAGGTACAGGGGCTGGCTAGGCCTTGAGCTTAGCTACAAACTGTATAGCAACTGTTGTTTTCCAATCTGAAATCTTCGCGATTTGGAAGGCAGCAGAATTGATAAAAAAGACTGGATGCAGAAGTCTATCTTTGTCGATAGTCAAGCGGCTCTTAAAGCCATCAAATCCTGCTACATCAAATCTAAGGCCGTTCTCATGTGTAGAACAGTTTTGAAAGATCTTACTTACAGCTATCGGCTGTGTTGGGTACCAGGATACCGTGATATCATTGATAATGAAAGAGCAGACGAATTAGCTAGACGAGGATATAAATCAACAGATCTAGCAATCAAACCATTCATGTGACATCTTTATCAAAACTTTGAGGCGTTCTTCGACGAAAGAGCCTATGAATTTTGGCACAATGTGTCAAGTTCTATTTTGCCGATTCTGTCTACCAAAAGAACATCTTCTGTGTCGCTGCCCAGCTCTAGACTAGTGGGTGCTCACTTTTCACCGGGTCTTAGTTGTTTCTTCTCAACAACGGAACCTGCTCTAATCTACAGGATCATTAGAAACCTAAAGTGGTTAGGAAAGTGCAACATTGGCACGCGTAATATATTTTCTGTCCGATCTCTATAGTCATCGATAGCATTTTAAACTTACCTTCTTACATTTTCTTGTAAGCTTCTCATCTCTCTTTATGTGCCCCTTCTTCTCTTCCCTGATTGCACATCCCCAAACCTAACCTAAGTATATTATAAAATTAAACAAACCTTTTGTTTTTAAATATTTTTTGTCTTTATTTTTATTTTAAATATTAAGGTTATACACGTTACTACAACTATAATACCGTGTCACAAAGAAATATGCTTCATAGTTTCTGGATGTTGGATGTTCCAATGAAAATTTGTAATTTTTGCTGCCTGATTAAAAATAAGTCTTGAAAATATTTAACACGCAATGGAATTTGAAACAAGATTTAAATGTAATTTTGTTCAATTAGGTTTTGTTTGTTTTGTTTTTTTACAATTTCGATTTTGAAAACGAAACTTAGAATTTAAAAGTAAAAAGAACTTAAGCAAATAATTATGGTATGTATATGTTCTGTAAAAAATGTCCCAAAAATATAACATCTTTCAAGAAGAGGATCAAGAAAAATGTGGAAAACATAATTGAAAAACATATTAGAATATTAAGGAAATATGTTAATGCATAAAGAAACGAATCATAAAAGAGAATGTTTTCTAAAATTAATCTCTGTTTAATATCTTAGCTTAGGTGTAAAGTAAATATATAGAGGAGGAAGTCACATGCACATCATCAGGATGTTTACTTTTTCTTTTTCTTCGCATTTTTCTCGGCGGCCACCACCTCAGATTTGCGTTTTTGATTGGCCTTAGCCGGTGGCGCTGTGGCGGATGTATTCGAATTTTTGGTAACCTTTTTCTTTTTCTCTTGACGTTCTTTTTCCTCCAATTCTAGATTTTCACGTTCGATTAGGGTGATAAGGGTATTGCAACGCCTTTGCAATTCCAAGGCGGTACGGGATTTGATAAACCAATTGAAACGGAATTGTGGTGAGGCTCTGGAAAAGATATAAAAAACGATTTAATTAATGGGGCCCAAATAAATAAATTTGTTATGAATTGTTCTTACCTTATTGCCGCTCTTAGTTCTTCATAGACATTTTCCTTATCAAAACCTAATTTGTGTAGCATGCACACCAAAAACCGATCCTCAATTTCGGTATAATTTTTACCCTTATTATTGCCATACTGCAGACGCAGTTGATGGAAAGGGGCACGGTAACGTGACATCTGTAAATAATTGAAATTAATATATTTTTTTTATTATTATTTTTTTAAGATCGCCCTACCTTCTGATCCAAGGCCTTTTTAATCGAGAGACGCCTTTGAATTTTACCCTCACCCCTTTCAATTTGTGCCATTATCCTCTCAATATCCTGCAGTTCATGACACCGCTCCCAAAATGCCGCATTATATTCAATAACCTCTTCCGGTGTTTTACCCTCAACATCCTTGGCTATGTTTTCGATATCATCACGACCATATTTCTCATTGGCCTTAATGAATTGATTAAAATCCCTTTTACTCCAATTGGTAAAACCCAATGTCAGCAAGTACTCCTTTTCAGCCAATTCCTCCTCGGTTAAGGGTTCAGCCTCATCGATTTTCCGCTGCTCTTCACGTTGTACCTTTGTGGCTTCGGAACCCAGTTCCGGATTTTTCGGAACCTTATAGCCCACCGTCTTACGGAAATAATATATTTCCTGATCGAGTATCTCAAAGAGACGTGGAGGAAAGAATTGGAAATCTTGCACAATAGGTTGCTTGGGCGGACGTGGAGCCTTGGGCGCCTTGGGTTCAGATACTCGCAAAGCCTCACGGAAATAGGCATCCACAGCATAGTTGGCTTTACGTTCACGCTTCGGTGGCTCAATCCAATTACCCAAAGCATTCAATTTTTGTTTCTCACGATAATCTTCACCCTCAAATTGATATACCGATGATGAGGCTCCTTCCGCATTTGTGTCCATGGTGAATGTGCGCAATGAGCTTTCACCCAACGAATCGTATTTTGCTTTCTCCTCCATTGTTTTGGCTTCACCTCTCTCCAAAATCGTATCAATATCTTCATCGGTCAATTCCGAATCCTTTGAGGCGAAAACATGATTGGCTCCGAAACGAATAATATTCAACATTTCATCTTTGTTCAACTGATTGCCCGTATTGTTGGTCAAACGTCCTTGTTGTATAACCATTTTATCCAAACGCAATTTTATCTCCGCCCTCTCAACGATTTTCTCCTCCACTGTGTTTTCGGTAATGAAACGGAACACGCGCACCTGCTTCTTTTGACCAATACGATGGGCACGATCCATAGCCTGCAAATCCATTTGAGGATTCCAATCGGAATCGTAGATAATAACAACATCGGCAGTGGCTAAATTAATACCCAAACCACCGGCACGGGTGGACAACATGAAAATAAATTTGCTGGAATTTTCGGCATTGTATTCTTGAATTTGACGATTACGATCCTCATGGGGTGTCTGACCATCCAAGCGGCAGTATTGATAGCTACGCCACAAACAATAATCCTCCAAAATATCCAACATACGTGTCATTTGTGAGAAAATCAATACCCTGGAACCTTGGGCTTGCAATTTGGGCAACAGCTTGTCGAGTATAACCATTTTTCCTGAATTATAAACCAAATGTGTATCAGTGGTATAGGGTGGTCCAGGTTCGGCACCATCAAACAAATAGGGGTGATTGGTACATTTACGCAATTGCATCAAAATATTTTGCAAACGCATTTTCTCCACTTTACCGGCCCCGTTGACAATATCAATATCCTTCATCAATACCTTGGTGTACCATTCTCTTTGCATTTTCGATAGACCCACAAAGATTTTGATTTCTTTCTTCGGTTTCAAACGTTTCTCTACCTCTGACTTCAAACGACGCAGCAAGAAAGGTTTTAACACTGCATGCAATCTCTGGACCAAAGCATCATCTCCCAAACATGAATTGGTATTAAACCATTCATCGAAATCTTCGGAGGAATTGAAAACATCAGGCAGCAAGAAATTCAATAGAGCCCACAATTCATGGAGATTATTTTGTAATGGTGTACCGGTAATCAGAAGACGATTTGTTGTCTTAAATTCTCTTAAAATTTCCGAAAGTTTCGACTTTTCATTTTTAATACGATGAGCCTCATCGATGACCATATAACGCCAATTGAATTTTTTAAATACCGACTTTTCACGAATACACATTTCGTAGGAGGTTACACAGACGTCCCATTCGCCGGGTAGCAGGACATCGCGTATAAATGTATTACGTGCCTCCTGGTCACCAATAAGGCAAACAGCTCTCAAAGAGGGACACCATTTTTGGAATTCATTAACCCAATTTTGTAATGTTGATTTGGGTACAATGACAATGTGGGGACCCGCTTGATTTCTGTAATGGAACAGAACATTTTTAATTAATAAAAATTATAGCTAAAGAATTTTGATACACGGAAAAAAGGTTCAGGCTATAAGGTACCCTATACTATTATCCATATAAATTTTATAGAGGGTCAGAAATTCAAATAGCGGATGCTCTATGGTAGTTAAATGTAGATCCAATATATGCCAAACTTGACATAGTTCATTCTAGGCTCAATTCGGTTCGGTCGTTGGGAGGAAATTATTTATCGGAGCTATATCAAAATTCGGATCGAATTGAACCAATCTTGAATCACGTCTCACTAGACTGAATTTAATTGTCTTGGAAACAATTAATGACTTTCGGAAATCGTTGGTGTCAAATATATGGGAGCCTAAAATCTGAACCGATTGGAACTAAGTTATATATATACTTCATTCAGTAGGTTATGCTAAATTTCATGACTGCCGGAAGAAAATTTAAATGAGAGCTATATCAAAATCTTAACCGATTTAAAGCAAACTTGGAGCACATCATTCTAGACTTAATCCAGTAGGCTATTGGGTTGTGAAAAATTTCCTTACAAATGGAACAAAATCTCTGCCTTTGTGGGCACCATTTACATAAGTTCGGACAAAATTATATATCGAAATCTGAACCGATTGGAACCAAATTTTGCACACATCATTATAGACTTCTTTCAGTAGGAAATGCAAAATTTCATGACAATCGAACAAAATCTGTGCCTTTAGTATGCCATTTTTTATTTATTTAAACTCTTACATGTACACAAAGCCTTTTTTTTTGCCAATTATTATGAATACATTATGCGAAATCGTTGATATATGGCATCTGAACCGATTAGAACTAAACTTTGCACACGTCATTCTAGACATAATTCAGAAGGCTACGCTAATTTTCATGACAATCGGATAAAATCTGTACCTTTGGGGGCAACATTTACACAAAATCGGACGAACATTTAAAGGGGAGCTATATCGAAATCTTAACCGGTTTAAAGGAAACTTGACACACCACATCCTTGATTCAATTCAATACGCTATGCAATATTGCATGTCAATCGGACAGACGTAGCATCCTTGAAACATCATTTGTTCGAAATCTGGACCGATTTTTATACATTTCTACAACTTTTGCTCTAGGCCAAATCGGACAATAAAAGTGTCTTGTAACGGGACCTCCGAACATTTACAAATCTACTCAAAAAGTGTTTCTAAGTATAACACCTATATAGAAAATGATTTCAAGCATTTGGGTTATGAAAATTTCCATAATCGTAATTAAAAATCCTAAAGATGAGTATATATTAGGAATTGCGTAAATTTGGACCGATTTTTAAAACCTCCAACGAGAAATAGCGCCATAGCATTGGCGGGAAAAGGGCTGGGGGTAAAACATAATTTCCTCAACATGTTGTTACTACAGTAGACAACATTTGCATCACATTTGATTTCTGCAGGAAGTTATTTGACGCCGTATATCATTGGCGGGAAACTGTCAGGAATTACATTGAACTCTTCGAATACCTCAACTATATACAAGAAAAGTAACACATTACAATATTTCATCTACTCACTTGAAATGTTTCAAATAGCCCAACAATGAAATGGTTTGTAAAGTTTTACCCAAACCCATTTCATCGGCCAGAATGCCATTGATGCCATTCTCATGCAACGATATCATCCAGTTAAGACCACGAATTTGATAATCACGCAGTTCACCACATTTAATATAGGCCGGCGAGGCTTCAAAACGGAAAATATCTTGTTTTTGGGTATCTTCAGCCAGCAGCTCTTCATCTTCTTCCTGTTCGGTTTTGCGATGGCGGTGACTGCAAAGAAAAACAAAAACAATAACACACACTCATACATATATAGATATTCGATTCGCATGTAGTACTTACTCTGCATTAGAACCACCATCTTTTTCCTTATCCTTGGGTGCTTTCTTCGGGCGTCCTTTGGGCTTTGTTGGACTCTTGATGCTATTACTCATAAAATGTGTGAAAATCTCCGTTTGCTTTAGCAAGAAATCGAAACGTTTGCTACTGTCCGATTTAATTTTATTGTCATAGCCCTCCTCTTTTTCGCCAGAGGATGAAGTCTTTTCCGAATTTGTTTCATTCTATAATGAAAGGAAAGAAAAAACAATGATTTTTTTACAATGTCTGGAACGAACATCCTTTTCTTGGCCAGCCAATACACTTTTGCATTTTTTGTGTATGGTCAAACAAGCACCATATTAGCGTGATTGTGTGCGTTTGTCTGACTGCGGAATGAAAATGCCAATATCTTACCGAATTTTCTTCAGTTGCCTCGGGCCCCTCAACCTTTTCTTCTTCGTTGGACATTTTGTTTACAGTCTTTCAAAAATTTTAAGTAATACAAATAATTATTAATTTAACAATGTTTCAATAAAGTATTGACTTATTTTTTCACTTTTTTTCTTTCTTTTTGCAAAACTTAACAAAACCAAGCCGCCGCACAACACACCAAGAAGAAGCACAGCATTGAAATGCGAGAGAAATGCTTTTTGTGTTATCGATAACACATTGGTTTCCCGCTTTAATCGTATATCGTTTACCACCTGGCGGTTACCGCTAGCAATCGGTTACTTTTTTGGTGTAGCAAAGAAGTTGGCAACATTGAGTGCATGAATTGCCAGTTAAAATTTTAAATTAAATGTGTGTCCAATGATTAGAACCTCTGCATTCTGTGTCCCGTGCCCAAGAATGGTGACAAGACAAGATATGTGTATAGAGGAATAAGTCTCCTTTCCATCAAATATAAAGTGTTATCCAGTGTACTTTGCGAACGACTGGAGCCAATGGTCAATGACATTATTGGAAACTACCAATGCGGCTTCAGACCTAGCAAATCCACCATTGACCAGATTTTCACTCTGCGCCAGATCCTGGAAAAGATCCACGAAAAACACATCGACACATTCCATCTATTCGTCGCGTTTTGACGACAGAGGGGTCTACGATCCGAAACGACCCGAGTCTTACTCGGCCAACGTCTGTCTCCTCAGCCCGTTGTGTAAAAGCAATAGGGCTGCTACAACAACAACCTATTCGTCGACTCTAAAGCCGCATACGACAGCCCAATCCACCCAAAATTAATACGGTTAAAGTCGGAAGGGACCTCTCGGTGCCCTTCAATACCGAACGATTCAGACAAGATGACAGTTTGTCGTGTGACCTTTTTAACATCTCGCTGGAAAAGGTCATACGAGAGGCAAGGTGAACAGAAATGGCACTCTGTACACCAAACAACACATGTTACACGCCTACGACGATGGCATCGATATAATGGATCAAGCATTGCTTGCGGTAACAGCCAACTTTGAACAAATTGAGTAGAAGTCTGCCAAAGTGGGGGTGGCAGTAAATGGCGAGAAGACCAAGCTGATGGTATCAACGCGCAGGATGGCTTTTAGACTTGGACCAATGGTGGAACTTGAAAACTATAACTTCGAGGTAGTCAACGATTTTATATACCTCGGTACCGCCATAAATAAAAATAATGACACCAGTTTTGAAATTCGGAGGAGAATAGTGTTGACCAACAGATGCTACTATGGCCTATGTAAGCAGTTCAGAAACAATGCAACCTCTCGCCAGACCAAACTCACACTCTACAAGACGCTGATACATCCCATGCTGTTATATGGATTTGAAGCATAGGTACTTGTGCAAACGGATGAGGCAGCTTTTGGAGTGTTTGAGAGAAAATTTCTCCGAAACATGTATGGGCCGATCAACGTCGAATGAACCATGAGCTTTACCATCGCTTCGACATATTGACCGCAAACCTTAGTGTCCGAAGTATGCTCGACGAAATGACGAACACCTGCAACATCATCCTCGCCAAGGACACTAACAAAAGAGGTGAGTCTATTTTCGATTTTGTATAATAGGGGTATAATTTACGTATATATAATAGGGGTAGCAATACGACCTTTATAATTAGGGCTAGAGAGGAGGTCATTGACTTAATCCTCTCAAATCTACATGACTCTGTCATCAGCAATTGGAAAGTATCTGATGAATGTTCCTTTTCGGATCATTTGAAGATTTCCTTCGAGGTCTCTTTCGACGGAGGTAGACAAAATCATTTGTAGAAATCCGAGGAGAATAAACTGAGAGAAATACACGGATATAACGAATTCCCAGCTGATTCTTTATACAAGGTAAGGTTCATATCTTTTGATCCAAAGGAGTAGTGTAAAATTTGGAACAAGTTTGGTGGGGGACTTTTAATTACCCTTATTCGACCTTTAGGGACGTTTTTAAACAAATCAGGGTACATACCTCCGTTTTTTACTGTATTTCCCAAGCATCCGTAAAATTAGGGTAAAAATACCTATCTCTGGAAAATTGTTAAAAAAATGTAATAATTTTTGCTAATTTGGAGTTAAGCCACAAATCCTTTATCTCAGGTCTTAGCAGTCAGAATCGAAGCAAACAGACATTGGTATTTAGCCAAGGGTTTTGAAGTGACAATCATTGACAAATTTGATCGATTGATACAGGACTTCGGTGCTGATGGGCATAATTCCGACTATGGCTCAGCCACCGTGAGCTAGGCCAAATGACAGGTACTCACAATAATTTCTCCAGATACTGTCCTCCCCCTTATCTTTAAAACCAGTATAAATCAAAAACATCCAAATAAATGTGATATATCAATAATTACTTTTTGTATTTCATTAAAATATTTTCGCTTATTATATATATCAAAAAATATACACACTAATAATAATAATAACATAAATTTTCAAGCTTATTTAAAAAGGAAACTATATATTAAATATTTTTAGATTACACACAACATGATTATTCCGTATGACTAAAATAGATAGAATAGAAATATAAACTAATTATTTTTTTTAGCTTTAAGGCTCTCTCAGAAAACAGGGAAGTGGGGGGTAGGTAGGTTGGTTGGTATCTTCTACTAAATTTTTTCTTTGAAGAACAATTAAGGAAATCAAGATGGGTGCGGGGGAAGGAAGTGTTGTTGAATTTGTCATTTAAAAGAAATCTTTGGAATGAAATGCATTATCTTCTGTTTTGAATAAAATAAACCGGATAAGCATTGAGAAAGATAATTTTTTAAGCTAACAAACAAACAAAACATGCTATATATTCGGATTCTTTGCACACAAAAATAATATTGAAAATCTCGGCTGGAGTAAACAATTGCCAAAATCTGTGGCACTATTCGATTGAAAGCTATACAGTGCAGTGTTAGAAACAACATATTGAAAAAAAATCCATAATTGAAAGATAGAAAAAAAAAACAGAAAAATTCGAAAAAAATTAAATTTTGATTTTAGCAAAAACAAAATTAAATTCTTCTTGAATTCTAATAACTCTTTTTGTTCACTATTTCCTTTTGTATCTTCGTATTGATAAATAGAATTTCAAAGAGAGGCAGTCATCATTTCATTCATTATAAGAAGAATTTGTAGAACTCCTCACAAAAATCCTTCAAGACCCCTTCTTCTTCAAAACTACTTAATATTACATGTAATACAATAGTCATTGCTTGATACAGTTATATGACGAGACGATCCAATTCAATGATGGAGTCAATATTTGAACCGTACTATCTGCACACCAAATTCTTTTTTTCCATCGTGATCATCATCTCCCAGGTGCGTTCCCACAATTGATGGCTGTTGCAAAAATCTATTATTGATGTAATGTTTCGATGATGTCTGTCTGTGAGTGTTGTGTTCATCAATTTTTCACCGAAAACATTTGGGCAACTTTACTGGCCTGGCCTTTAACAAACTCCAAACTGTTCGATATTCCCTTTTTAATGGCTTCAGTTTTATTTTGTTGTTGCTGCTGCTGTTGTTGTGTGCCAGCCGGCGGTGTGGCATGATGATGATGATGATCTACACTTTTTGATGATTCAATTGCATTATGATGATGTTGTTGATTTGGAAACATTCGCTGTAGAACATAATTAAAGCCGCTAGCCGCCTTATGACAATTCGATTTAAAACGTTCAATGCCGAATGCTCGAATTGCCCGCGAAAATCCAAATACTTGTGAACTGATGTAGGCTCGTCGTATTGCCAAGGTGCGACCATCTTTTTGTTCGGAATATTCAACGATTTCATCGACTTTCTGCAAAAAATAGGGAAATGGAAAAAATTAAAATGGAAAAAATTAAATTTTCGTATAAAAAATGTTCACTGGGACACATTTTTGTTGTAAGAAATATTTACTGGGAAACATTTTCACATAAGAAATGTTTGCTGGGAAACATTTTCGCAAAAGAAATGTTCGCTGGGAAACATTTTCGTATAAGAAATGTTCGCTGGGAAGCATTTTCATATATAAAATGATCGCTGGGATACATGGAAACATTTTCGTATAAAAAATGTTTACTGGGAAATATTTTCATATAAGAAAAGTTGGCTGGAAAACCCTTTCATATGAGAAAGTTCGCCGGGAAACATATTCTTATAAGAAATGTTCGCTGGAAAACATTCTTGTATAGAAAATGTTCGCTAGAAAACATTTTCGCATATGAAATGTTCGCTGGGAAACATTTTCGTAGAAGAAAATGTTCGATGGGAAACATATTCATATAGAAAATGTTCCCTGGAAAGCATTTTCATATAGAAAAATGTTCCCTAGAAAGCATTTTCATATAGAAAATATTCGTTGGGATACATGGAAGCATTTTCGCATAAGAAATGTTCGCTGGGAAATATTTTCGTATATGAAATGTTTGCTGGGAAACATTTCAACAGAATAGGCTGTAATTTGGTATTATGGTTTCTCAGTGCTTAGAAAAATCTCCCTACGAAAAATTATCAATAGTCGCCCAAATTTTCGGGTAGTCGCCATCATAGATTTTGCGCACGTTTTTCAACCGAACTGCCCGTTGTAATTTGGTATTATGGCTTCTCAATGGTTAGGAAATCTCCCTACGAAAAATGATCAGTATTGGTCAAATTTATAGAAAGGTCCCATATAACATAACCTCACAAATTTCGGTATTTTGTAGATTTTGGGCACATTTTTCAATCGAATTGGCTGTAATTTGGTATGTTGGGTTCTCATTGGATAGCAAATATTTCTACCAAAAATTATCAACATTGTTCCACTTTTTATATTAGACCCCATATAACATAACCTCCCAAATTTCGATATTCATAGATTTTAGCCGCGTTTTTCAACCAAATTGGCTGTAATTTAGTACTTTGGATATTCATTGGTTATAAAATCTCCCTACCAAAAATTATCAACATTGGTCCACTTTATAGGGTAGTCCCCATATAACATAACATACCAAATTTTGATATTCTTCGATTAACCGATTTGCTTGTAAATTGGTACTTATCAACAATGGTCAACTTTATAAGGTAGTGCCCATATAACATAACCTCCCAAATTTCGATATTCTTACATTTTAGCCAAGTTTTTTAATCTAATTGACTGTAAAAATTATTATCAATATTGGTCAACTTTATCGGACCACTCTTTCTGGTAGCTCCCATATAACGGTATCCTAAATTTTGAGTATTTTTAGTGAGTTTATAACCGAAGTGAAGTTTATAATCGAAATTGCTGTAATTTGGTACTTTGTGTTCTCATTGGTTGAGAAAACTTTCTAACGAAAATTATCAAATAATAAAAGGGAATCTTCCAAATTTCGAAGTTTGGATTATTTTTTACCCTAAATTGTACGTATTTGATATTTTCTCATTGTAATTGGGCGTGAAATCCGAAAATATCATAGCTCTCATATGGATTTTTGTTATTTTGAGTATCGCTGAATGGTTTCAATTTGTATTTTTTTTGATTTTATTTCCAAAACAATTAACGCCATCCCAATAACCAGTTGAACTACTTTTTGCTTGTTTTTGCTAATTATTGTCAATTGAAATTATGGCTGCATTGTTGATCTAATGCTAACAGCTAAAATCCACACAATAATATGTGAATGTGTGTGTGAGTGCGTATACAACAATAATCTCTACACATGCTTGTTTTGTGGTAGGTCCAAAGTCGAATATGAAAAATGAATCAAAACAAACTAAAATAGGTATAAAATATGAAATACACACACTCAACTATATATACATGTTATATACATACCATTATCTTCTTAAAGCCAATATTTCGGGTAAATGTTATCAATGTCTTTGTTTTGGGATCTAGGACGGAATCTTCAATAATTTTCACTGGAGTATTTTTATAGAAACGTTCACCCCATTTCGGGACACTGTTGGTTTTCGACAAGATGCGCCGTGAATATAATTTGCCATCCCGTATTTCTCTCGAAATGGTGTCCTCTGTTAGGACATGATGACTGAAAAGGATAAGAGGGGAAATAAATTAACATAATAACATTAATTTATACAATTTACAAAAACAATTATAACTAACTGAGTTCCCTTCCCTCCTCCCATAATGGCCTACGTGTTAGAATTCAAAATGTTAGTTATTATTATTATAGCGTGTTAAAAATATTCTGATATCAGCGAGGAGTTTCTTTGTCTTCATCTAAGTTTGCCAAAATAAAAATGCTTTGTTCTCTTTGAAAAATAAAACGCAAATTGAATCTGCCATGATGTTACTTACCTTGCGGGATTTGGATAACGATTCCAATAGGCTTGTACAACCTGTTTCCAGCTGTAATCGAATACAGTTTCGGTACGATAATGAGATGCCATATTTACTACTACTGCTGTTGCTGCTTTGTCTTTAATACGGAATGCACAGGAATTCTTTCCTTTCTACTTTAATGTCAATATTTTTCCGTGTGGTCGACAACGACAAAATCAAAACTGTTCACACCGGGTGTCTACAAAATGAAAAAAAAGAAAATCATTATTAATCATGTAGTTCTTATATATATTATACGTCAATAGACTGTGTATATAGCTAAAGAGAGATTATCTTATCAATATGTTTATTGGTATAAGATAATCGACAAAAAAAACACCGGTCCCCAAAAAAACCGGCATATCACCACTTTCTTACCACAATCGTTGAGATATGGATTTTTTTTCTGTTCAACTACAATTATTGGTTTCATGCACTTGCATGCTATCTTCTACTCATTTACACATAACCCTGAACCATAATTTTTTTAAGTGGTATATCATATAAATAGCTGAGGGCGTGCGGCGAACTGCATACACATCAATGTTGTTTCGGATTGTGGGTTCGTTTGATTTTTATTTCTTTCTATTTATTGTTAATTAAATAAAGAGGCATTCAGGCAGGCTCGCGGGGTAGCAACAAAAGAAAGTAAAAACAAATAGAAACCAAAAACCAACAATTTTTTCTTTTCAGTCACGTTGTTTAGGCCTCGAGAAGGAGGAGGTGATAAGCAGCAAGCAAATCGTAACGACTTTGTTTTTCCACCTCCCAAACGTGAACAGCTGATGTTCTTCTATTACATACATGTATTACTAAAAAAAATCTGCATCTTCTTCTTAAAGCAAGCAAATGAAAGTGAAAATAAACATCATATTTTTGGTAGCCACTCACACTTACCCTCTAGAAGTTTCGTAATCAAATCACTTAAAAAAATATACACTTTTTAGTTGTACCCTTTTTTACGCAAAGTTCTACACCACCAATCAAAACAACAACGCCGCACAAATTACAGGTAAATCCAATATTTTGTTGCTTTGCTCGTTTGTGTATGTGTTTGCAACCAATCAATCCAATTGTTAATAGGCATATAATTATAAATTAAAAATGAAAACAAAGTGCCAGAATAACTACACAACCGTCTTAATTTGTCATTGTCGAATTTATTATTGACACTAGTTCTCCCTATGCTGCTACTACTGAATTTACCAATGTGCGAGAGAGAGCGAGCGAACAAGTCAAAACAAGCCGATTGCATGCGAACGTGACAGTTCTCACATAAGGCGGTTTGGTTACAATGACAGCGTTAGCGTATGGCGTATGTCATATCCATAAGACTGCTGTACACTATAAGGCGTTATTACACAAAATGCTTGGGTTATTGCAGTGTTATGTGTTTTAATGATTGTTTAAATAAATCATAATAAAATAGAATAAGATTTAAAGAACATAAACGATTAATTCATGTTGTTTATTTACCTATTAACGCCAAAGAAATAATAAATAACAAAAGATATCGAAAAAAGTAATATTTTTATGATTTTTATAACATAAAAATGCCATGGCATAATTATGGAAGGTAGTCTCATTTGAGAAATTGATAATGGCAACACCTTTTAATTCTATAACGTTTGATGTATCAAAATAAAAACCTTTGTTTTTGTTTCGACCATCTGTCAAATTTTTACTTATAACATTTCACATTTTTGGCAACAGTGCGCATCGAATTCAAATTGATTTTACGCACTTTGACAGTTAATCGAGACATCAACTGCATGGTATACGTACATTTCGAAGAAAGATATTCCAATTATATTTTGAAAGCTGGGTGCTGTCAAAGGCGAATTTATGATAAAATTAGAAACATATGACTGCATGAGACTACCTTATATAATTCCTATCCTATGCATGTTTAATTACAGTATAGCAAGCATTGTATAATTAGGGCACATTTATTCCGAACTTTTTTAAAAATTTTTTGTATTTATTCAACATAAATTCGAAGGCAAAGACAACATATACAAGGTAGGCCATAGTATGACAAATAAAAATATTAAATTATTTTGAAGAAAATATTGCCGGTAAAATCCAATAAAAACAGATGATTCTGAAAATGTTATAGTACGTTTATATTGTAACGGATTTCGGATTTTTAACCCAGTGGGTTTCAATTGTCATGTAGTAGGTACAAAGTTGTAATGTAAATACGGTTTTAGCTTTCATTGTAATATTTCAAAGTCGAAATACAATTCGAATAAATGATTTTTATTTGTTGTTTTTTTATCTTGAGATATTTTATTCTGTACTACAGAAAATCTAAAAAAAAATTATAATAACTTAATTTTTTGATTTGATTTTTTCCTCATATGGTCATAAAAAAGCTGATTAAATATCAGCTGATGTTACTGGAAAAACAAATCACTGTTTACATTTTGTCTATAAGAATTTGTAACACATCTCGTCAAAATGCTCTCCAAACGTACTCTCTTTTACTAGACTTTTGCGAAAAACGAAAAAATTTTGCAATAATTTGCACACATTATTGAGTAAAAGAACAAACCCAGAATTTCATTTTTCATTTGCATGGTAAATATCGATGAATAGTAACATTGACTAAAAATTGTCACCGAAATAATCAAACCAGTGGAATATGTATGTAAACGTATACAAGTAACAGCTGACTGCCAACAATAAGGCTACGTTTAGACTACTAAATCCACTCGATTTCAAAAGTTCGTCATGTTCACAAATCCAGTTTGACTTATACGCTATGGAATTGACATTTGAGATCGAGTGAATTTCGGAAATCTAAACGTACCTTAATGCCAGACTAAACTGTTAGGGTTTTGTAGTTCTATTTGGAAATCAAGTCGATTTAGAAGTCATAGCTTAAACTCGCCCTAAATTTCAATTTACATTGATTTATTATACAAAATTAACAGTACGTTTACTTTGTACCGGATTTATTAAATCCAGCCGATCTAAATTGTAAATTTCATTACATATATGCCGAATAAATCCTCATAGAGGAGGTTAACAGTACGTTTACATTTAACCGGATTTCGTTAACCCAGTGGGTTTCAATTGTCAATTCCTTTGAATATATGTCAAATAAATCCACATAAAGAAGGTTAACAACTGTAAAAAGTTCTAATGTACATGTCGTTTAACCCGCAAAAAAGTTCTAATGTACATGCCGTTTAAATCTAATAAATTTCTCAGATACAACACTGCTTTTGCAAAAGAATAAAATCATCACATCTCCCGAAATTATGCTTCAAAATATGTTAAAATTCAAAACATATGGCAGCTGCTGCTGTAAAATTGAGATCTTTGTAATGAATAATTTATGAATTATAAATATTATTATAATTGAAAAAAAATGTATACGTATTGTTAGATTAGTATTAAAGTAATATATATAGTCAGTCAGCTGATATTTGTTTATACACAAGGCCTATCAATAAAGTCACCAAGAAATATCAGCTGATTTTAAAATTGTTGTCAATATTCATTTTTGTGGATTGTAAAGTAAATTATGCAAATGTTTAAATTCAAGGGTGGCCATCTGATTACAATTTTTTCTCAAAGTGGCCTATTCGACTCTCCTCTTGAAGTTTAATTGAGCGCTTTTAGACTACTAAATCCACTCGGTCTCAAATGTCAATACGGCACCTTAAGGTACGTTTAGATTTAAGAAATCCACTCGATCTTAAATGTCAATTGAATAGCATATACGTCAAATGTAATCCAATGGATTTGTGAGCATGATTAACGTGACGTATACCCATGGAATTGACGTTTGAGATCGAGTGGATTAAGTAGTAGTTCTCTTACCTTTTTATAAAATTGTCCGCGTCGCGTAAATAGTTGTTATAAATATAAGTTTCTTCCACGGAACTATTCTTCAGTATGCCCTGATTATCTTTGCTCAATGTTGTGGACGACGAGCCACATCATGTGATGTTTGGTCAAATCGTGTGATTATTACAAAATTCCGTATTTTTTTTTTGTTTTCTTTACTATTATCCCCCCTATTACATAAAAAACGTATGTTTTATTCTTTTTGTTATTTCCACCCATCCTATGTTTATTGATTATTAAATTAGGCAATGAAGAAGAAAAGGCGACAACAACAACAAAACAAACACTAGCAATATGACACGTTAATGACATTGCCAATGAATGGGTTAATAATAAATATAAAAACAACAACAACGACAAAATAAACCACACTACCGTTACAATGACCATGACTGTAATGTCATTAAGTGGGTGGAAGGGTGATAGAAAGGGGCTAAAACACAAATTGGAATCTATGCGAGAGTTCGAAAAAAAGAAAAGCATCAATGTGTGAATATCGTCTCGCAAAAAACTGTTAATTTTGCTCGATTATGCATTCACACACACACACACACACAGGCACACTTGCATCTAGGCATCCATATGTAAGTGTGATACCTATAACCCCAACAACACCACGACATGTGGCGGCAGCTTAGAAATGGAGGGAAAGTAATGCATTACTGTTGGTTGAGCTTATGTCAAAATGAGGCATGTTTTTGTTTGCAAGGTAGTAATCATGATGCAATAATAAAGTGATGAAACAAAAACAATTGCTTTTGTCTCGACAATCTGTCAAAATTTTCCATATAATATTTCACAGTTTTCCATATAATATTTGACAGTTAATCGAGACATCAGCTGCGCTAAATGGACTACCTATTTATTGTGCCATGGTGGTAATTATTGTTCATATTGGCCGTGATTACAAAAAGAGGCAATTGTGTAAAATGTCAAATAGTTAATTGTAACGTTAAGCTGTCAAAATAAAATATGTCACAAAACATATGTTATATGTACTACTAATTAGGTTTGTTCCCATTTGTTTTTAGCCAATCTGAAGTTGACATCCTAGATCCAATTGGTCGAAATTTTTAAAATTTTTCAATATGTTATAGTACATGTTTACAATGTACCGGATTTAGTCAACTCAGCCATTCGTCCGACAGCGGTTAAAATTACAAAATTTTCCAGAAAAAAATTATTCGTGATGGAATTCAAGCATGATAGTGTGATTAGAGCACTCCAGCATTTAAATGTGAATAACTCTTTTGTGCAAGGCATAATTATACAAGGTAGTCTCATGCAGTCATATGTTTCCAATTTTTTTTATAAATTTGCCTTTGACAGTATTCTGCTTTCAAAATTTAAATAAAAATATCTTCCTTCGAAATGTACGCAAATCTTGTGACCAGTGGCAACAATTTTTGAATCATTTATATTTAATAATATTTTTAAGTTCCCTGCCTATAAAACCTATAAATATACTGGAATCGTAGACCGACGTCAAGGAAGTGGATGGAAGAAAACAGCAATATTCGATCATGTAGCTCATCTCGAAAAAGAAAAATAAAAAAAACAATTACATGAATGATCCTTCGCCCTAAAAAGGCATAAAACACAAAAATTCAGCTTGAGCCCGGCTGGGATTTGAACCGTGGTTCCCATGGCATCTGTTGATTGTTGTCCGGCGCCTTAGCGTTTACAGCCACCTCCTTATCTTCCTAAGGTTGCACAACATGCAGTTATATACCATTGAAGAAAAATATTGTAGTCTGTATAGAAAAAAGTCCGTCACTACAAGAAAAATCTGCTCTGAAACGCTTGACAAATGTCCGAACATTGACATGGTTGATTATAATTCGTAGATACAATTTCGCAACAATATTCGACATAAATCAAGTAACGACATTTGTAAGCCACATTGCCCAATATGCCTGGTGAGCCGCTTAAGCAACGGCAAAACGCGTCGCATAATGGTGAGAATGTAGTATATCTCTGGATTTCCTCTTCATTACAACTTCGATCATGTACATCATCTCGAAAGAGAAATTAATAAAAAAAATCAGCAGATGGTTTGTAAAGTAAAGAAGTGACTTGATCAAAACCCGCGTCGCTGTGGCCAAAAAATGTCTCGTGAGCTGAACATATCGCATTTATTGAAAATTCGGCAAATATTAAAAAAATGAGCTCGGGGTAAAGCCATTGAAATTCCAAAAAGTGCAAGAACTTACACCGTAACAGAAAGAAAATAGACTCAAAAGATCTAAAGATTTGCTTCGCTTGGCCGAAAGTGGTGAACTGCCGAATTTGCCGGTTTTCTCCGATGAGAAAATATTCGTTGTCCAGCAGTTTGTAAACAAACAAAATTATCGTCTTTACTTGCCAAAGAGGTCAGCTGAAAATGTGCACCTACGGTTGGCCACCAGAACTCAAGCGCCGGCCATGGTGATAGTGTGGGCCGCCATAACAGCCGATGGCCGCTCTCCGCACGTATTAATCGACCGTGGCATCAGAATAAATGCCGAATATTATCGCGAAAATATTCTGGTGGGTGTATTTAAGCCTTGGGCAGGCAAACATTTTGGCCGCAGACCTTGGACATTCAAACGGGACACAGCACCATCGTACTCAGCATGCGCGACTCAAGAATTGTTTACTAAATGAGGTTTCTCGCTTCATTTCCAGTGCACAATGGCCACCAAAATCTCCGGATACCAATCCGTTGGACTATTGTGTCTGAATTACTTTGGAAAGCAAGGTTGGCTCTAAAAAATACCAAAGTGTCGATCACCTCAAGCAAGCGTTTCGCCGGGAATGGACCAAAATACCGCAGAGCAACATTCGGGAAGCGTGTGTCAGTTTCATTGGCCGTTTGAAGGCCATAATTCGTGCCAGAGGTGACCACTTCGAACAAATCTACACTCGTACAAAATCTCCGGATACCAATCCGTTGGACTATTGTGTCTGAATTACTTTGGAAAGCAAGGTTGGCAATAAATAATACCCAAGTGTCGATCACCTCAAGCAAGCGCTTCGACGGCAATGGGCCAGAATACCGGAGAGCGAAATTCGGGAAGCGTGTGTCGTGCCAAAGGTGATCAATTCGAACAAATCCAAACTTATTCTAAAATTTGATGCTATTTCCGAGATTTTTTGCTTTAAAAATTATGGCGTTTAATTTTGTTGCAGTTTTTTTTTATCTCATCCTATATATGTGTTAAATAAATCATCATAGAGTAGGTTAACCCGGTAAAAAGTTCTAATGTAAATGTCATTTTACCTCTTTTTGCAGTTTCTTTAACCAAAACCATGGTACTATTATAAAAGGTAACAGCAAATCCCAGCTGATTTGATTCCAACGTAGCACTAGTGTCAATATGAATTTGACAAATTATGTTTTTAAAAATCACCCAACAGGAAAATTGGGAACGCATACAATTTGAAATTGTTCTTTATTAAATGTGCTCCGGTTTTCAATTTACTCAATCTGCCTGCTGGACAAATTTGAGGAAACAAATCTTTGTTCATGGAATAACTCGCAATTCCCTGCATTTTCATATGTGTTACACATATAAGTGGCAATGGCTCAATTATAGGAAAGATGTGGAAGCGATAGAAATATAAATTTGATAGATTTTCATTCATGTTTTTCAAATTTTATTTTGAGGATTCGAAAATATATAATTTTCAAAATTGTTTGTTTACATTTTTCTGTCAAATGACGTTGACACTAGTAGAACTTACAACAACAAATTTCCATGTGGTTGTTGTATCGTTTGTTGTACAACAACACTTGCTGTTACCTTTTATTATTATACCATGAACCAAAACATAAGTACGTTTATACTATGCCTTTTAAATTGACTCTATTTATAATACGATTAACTAAATCCTAACTGTTTACACTGGCCTTAAAATTATATAAAGACAGTCGGCTGATTTTTATTTACATATACATACGTCAAATATCTCAAAATGTAAACAAATGTCTTACTGAAAGTCTATGCCGTAATTTATAGAGTATTAAACTAAAAAACGCCTCTATTATTAGACAATACCAATGCAGTCATGAAAACTCACACATACATAGCATGCACAAAATTTTCTTTGTGAGTGGATTTCTGTGTGTGTGCGTGTTTGGAGAAAAACCCCCTCCACAAATTGATTGAGGGTAAGACAAGTGTTAAGATATGATTTTTTTGTTTTGTTTTTTATTTTTTTTTTTAACTTTTTTGCATTTTTTATTTTTGTGTGTTTTTTTTCTTGTGGAGCGTAATTTAAATGTTGTGCTTTTGTTTTAGTTTAAAATAGAACGGGTAGTGATAAACATTCAAATAACGGTAGCTTGACCATTTCCGGCCAACAAAAAAATTTTATATATCTATTAAGAAAAAATTGTCTAATTCATTTGTCACATAGTGTTTTATAATTGGATGGTAAGTGTGTGATTTCATTCATGTAATGTACTATTAAGTGTCAAAAAGAGATCACTACGTATTTTATTTTGGAAGAAGATTTCATCGTAAGTATATAAAATTATAAATTTTCTTAAACAAATTTAATTTGATAATAGTAAGTTTACATTGTACTGGATTACTCGTTAATCCAGTGGTTTTAAATTGTCAATTCCTTTGACTATATACCAAATAAATCCCCATAAAGTAGGTTAACCCGGTAAAATGTTCTAATGTAAATGTCGTTTAAGGAATAAAGAAGCGTGTTCTTCGAAAGTGTTCCAATCATTTTTTTTAATCTACTGCACATAAAAGTACGTTTACATTGTACCGAATTTGGTTAACCCAGTGGGTTTAAATTGTCAATTACTTTGAATATATGTCAAATAAATCCTCATAAAGTAGGTTATCCCGGTAAAAAGTTCTAATGTAAATGCCATACAATATACAACCAATCGATTAAAGGTACGTTTAGATTTACGAAATCCACTCGATCTCAAAAGTCAATTCCATTGCTTATACGTCAAATATGATCCACTGGATTTGTGAGCAGGATTAACGTGACGTATACGCAATGGAATTGACGTTTGAGATCGAGTGGATGTAGTAGTCTAAATTATGAGCGCGTTTAGACAACTAAATCCACTCGATTTCAAATGTCAATTCCATAGTGTACAGGTCACCTTAATTCTGTTCACAAATCCAGTGTATTATATTTGACGTATTCGCTATGGAATTGACATTTGAGATCTAGAGAATATAGTAAGTCTAAAAGCACTTTAAATCCACTCGATTTCAAACATTAATTCCATAGCGTTAGAAATTGACATTTGAGATCGGGTGTACATTGAAGACCAACAAGAAAAGGAAACGGATATCCAGGGCAACCAAACGAACAAAATTGAAAGGTGATGCCAAGACCAGGAATGATTTGCAAATAGTAACTCTGAAAGATTGGCGTGTGTCAAATACAGCCTAGTTGCTAATGTCTGGTTTAATAGAACAGCTGATGAAAGTAAAATAAATAAACATAGAAAAATTGTGGGAAAACTAGGAAAAAAAACATTAAAACCTTCGGCTGTGGTCTTTTTCGAGCCAATATAAGAAGGTGAAGAAGGAACATCTAGGAGATCAGTAGTCAATCCTTGTGAAGCGCATATTAAATAATCTCATGAAAAAATACAAAATAATAAATTGTTATTGCCAATACAAAAAAAAAAATTAAAATTATGCTACATGGAGCATTCAGATGAAAAGTGTCCTAGTCCATATGGATTTGTGGGGAATCACATGTGGAAGAGAAATAAAGACCGAAGGCGCAGGAGCAGCGGTTTTTGAAATCAAGGACGAAAAGGCGTTGGCATTAATATTGCTTCATGTGAAGACAAATCAAATTCATCATTTAAAGGATTGCAAATCAGCAGATCGGGCTTGGATAAAGTTGAAAGGGACTCACCAAGCAAAGGGGCCTGCATGGAAGATAATGTTGTTTAAGTAACTCCTCTCAATGAAGTTGCAAGCCGGAGGCAAAATGGTGGATCATCTGATAGTGGAGCGACTAGTCATTTCTGCTGTGTGCGTGAATTATTTGAAACATCAAGAATTGAGAAATAAAGGATCAAATCAAGATGTTGAAACGAGTGAGTTTGAGCCAGTAAATTTTTCTCAAGACGGAGAAGAAAATATGGTAAATGGCGAAACTCACGTATATGAATTAGAATTTACTTCGGGACAAAGCGATCCCATGGAAATGTTCAACATGCAAACAAAAGTGAAATTGAGCCGTTAAGAAAAAGGCCAGAAAGACCTCGAATTCTACGTGATGGAGCCAAAGGAAGGCAATGAAAGCTGTACAATGAACTTAATGCAGTGCGAATGTGTGGTGTTGAAACATCAGAAAATGAGAAACAGGCATCTATGAAGACGGAATATGATTCTGTGATGAAAAACGATTCTTGGCACTTATGATGCAAATGGAGTAACAAAATTCATGTCATCAACAATAAATTTCCTCTTATTTTTCACCGGATAATTGCATTATTTTTTAAAAATAATCTGACATTCCTTTTGAGAATATGCATAGAATCACTTTCTGAGTCGACGGACGGAAGTCTGTTGATGTTAAATTGGAAAAAAGTACATGTCGCATTTATAATTCGGCCCAAGGACTAACCCTATTGAAATTGAGAAAAATCGGTTCAAATTACATATGGCTCCCATATATATTTTCGTCCGATTTTATGTAAATGATGCACCGAAATCCCTATATATTTTTACGAAATATGGCATAGCATATTGATTTATGACTAGGATAGTGTGTGCTCAATTTTGTGAAAATCGGTTCAGATTTAGATATTTAGATATGCGTGATTTCAGTAATTGGACAAGCAGTTCAATGAAGCGGGTATCGGATAATTGGTTTTTCGGTTAATTGAACAAAAAATTGTGCAAATTTTGATGTGCAATTAACCGAAAAATACTGTAGTCCTTGCCTTATACACCTAAGTCTGTTTTTACACGGTAGATTGGTTTCAGAAGAAGCCGTGTAAAAAAGACCGAGTAAAAAAGGGAATTCCCCTAAATTAGTGCTATTCACATTTGCTTTGACCAGTAAAAATTGTTTGTACGCGCTAAAGGGGAATTCACTTAAATCTTTAAGCTAGTGTTCGCAAACTATCCATACTATCGATGGTTTCAGACTTTTTTCTTTCATAAATACTGTTTTGTGATATGAACATACTTCGCAAAAATTAAATTTGACAAAAAAAAATTAAGTACATGAAATTTCAAATCGTAAAAATATTCAATTTTCAAACCGTGTAAAAACAGACTAAGGTGTACATATTTTTGGTTTTGTTTGTCGTTGGAATTATTTGAAATGTTAGTCTCTATTGAATTGTCTTGCTGTTAATATTAATAAATATCTCGTCGGAAGTTTATCTGCGGGTTTCACTTCCAAGAAAGAAAGACCTAGAATTTTTCAGAAACCTATGACTGCATGAAACTACTTTGTATAATTATGAAGAAGCATCTGATTTCTAGTTTGTCTCCCTTTGAGCAGTTAGTCTGCTCTAAATGGAGTACCAATTTATTGTGCCATCGTATAGCGTATACGTCAAATAACTCTTATAGTACGTTTACATTGTACCGGATTAAATTAAATCAATGGGTATCAATTGTCTATACCTATTTGTCAAATAAATCCTCATAAAGTGGGTTAACCCTGCAAAAAGTTCTAATGTAAATGTCGTTTTACTCCTAAATTTATTGGATTTATTTGACGTATAAATCGTTTTAATTTCGTTTTTTCATACAAGGTTTACCATAATGTTATAAATCATTTATTTTAGTAATTAAATTATTGACAATTAAAAAAAAACAAACAAAAATAAAGGTCATTACACCTCTCTAAAGCATTCGGTGTATTTTTCACATTTTTCCCATGATAAACAAAAAGACTCAAGGCTCTATGACCTGTGCGAAACTGACAGCTGTGTAAAAAAACAACAACAAATCACAAACAAATAAAAAGCTTTTTCTAACAGTTACCTACACTACCACATGACACACAACAATGACATTTACTACATTTACTGCTCTTTTGTCAAATTGTGTTAATTTCTCTCTCACTCTCCATGGTGGAGACTTCATTTGTAAAGAGAACGCGCGCACACACACACACATGACGCCGCA